CGAGGCAAATATCATGTCCACCATATCATGGCAGGGCCTATTCCTGTACCCAAATATAGAAAGCCTGCATTTGACCGTGTAGCTGTTTTTCAGAACCTGTGAAACAGGAATTGCTGAATGCTAATATTCTGCAAAATGGAAGTGCTTCTTGTCAAGAGCTAACCAGAAACAGACCCAGAATTGTGTCCCTTTGATCACATTTTTTACTATCTCCAGCACTTACTCAACTGTATGTCCTCATCCTTGGTCAACCTGCCAATATTCCTTCTGTAGCTACAGAATAAGACTGACCATGACCTCCACACTTTGGACGTCTGTAGGGCTTTGCTGCACCAAACCAAAGACTTCAGGAAAGACAATAATCTATTAATTTCATATTCAGGCACTAAATCAGGCCATAAACCTTTTGCACAATCCATTTCCCAGATGCACTTTCACTAAGCACTATTCCATGGACACTGGTGCCAGAAAAGATGCAGCAGTCACACTTGGTTTCTGTAATTTTGTTAAGAGCCATAACAAAAGGAAAAATTATAATGTTATAAAGCTGTGTTGCCATATTGCTCTCTCAGTCTGATTTAAACTTTTATAACAGTACCTTGAAAACAAACAGGATCTAAAATTCTGATATAGGGCACCAACAGTTCTGTAATGAACAAAACTTGACCTTGAAAATTATGCACAGTAGGAAAGTGTTAGATTACAGACAGAAATGGAAATATAACTGGTCTCCAAACTCAATTAAAAACTCTTTTATACAATAGGAAATTAAATGCATCACACCTATTATATCTTAATAATGTAATAACTTTTGCCTGGTCTTGCCAATGCAGGAAAAATACTATCCTGGCTGCCAGTTAAAGCCCTAACCTGGTTGGAATAAGGACATCTCCTCCTGTGTGCCTGATAGCTGAGCTCCTCATCAGATGCTTCTGCCACTTTCAGAGGTTAAGCTAATGGGTACCAGAAATGGGGCTATCTCTGTACCTTACAACTCCCTCACCGCACCCATGTCCTTGCATGAAGCTTGCTGAGGCTTTGACATGAAGATATTTTTATTTTTGTTTTTGCTCTTAGGATGTATAAACATGACTACTGAAATATTTAATTAGTTTTACTGTTGCTGCTGATTTTATGCTGTGGCTTTTTATTGTTCATTTCACTTAAATTATGCTACTAATTTTATTGTTGATTTTAAGAAAACTGCTTAGTGTATTATGAATTTAGTTTCTGTGAACTGCCTTATGAGCTTTTAGTTAAAAGTACCAGATATAAATTTTTAATATAAATAAATAGGGTCAGGGGGCATCTTCCCCTTTTCTGTGACTGGCTATATGATGCTCAAAGGCTATCAAATATACACCAAGTAAATGTTGAAGAATCTAGAAAGATACTACAGAACTTCTGTTTTCTTAGTATGTCTATGCTAACAATTGGCTGATAGAATACATTTGTATGTTTGGTGAAGGCCAAACAGTCACTGCAGTTTATTTCAGAAAGCTAAGGAAATGATGCACAACTATGCTTCTGACAAAAAATGGTAAGACTGCAAAATCAAAACCAAAAATCAAAATCAAATATAAGTACCCCTGGCTGTCTGCCATCCAGTCAATGTAGCTGATATGTTTTGAAATAGGAACAACCAATCATATTGTATGAGCCTACATCTAAGATATTGGAACAAAGGATGATTCTCCAAAAATGGGGATATATGAAATTCTATTCACAAAATCAACATCACTACAAATTTAACATGGTATTTAGATTTTAACTTACAAAACAGATAATAAATTTATATTGTGATGCTTTAGCAGCAGTGTCAACCATGTAAATATAATTCCATTTGATACTATTTCATATACCGAAGGATTTTACTTCTGCAAAATCTCTAGGCATTTCACAATCCAGTCATAGCTTTCTTTAAAAGCTTCCACAGGTTTCCGCAAACCCAGCTGGGCTTCATTGCTGAGTTCAGCTTCAGTTCCATTAGCCTCTTCCTCCATCCATCTTTTCAGTGCCTAGAAGAAATACAAACCCTGATTTAAAAATTCTGATTTCAGTGTGCATGAACAATAAAAAAGAGACAACATAAATCAACTGGTTTGGCATGCTAGCACAATTCTTGACCAACAACGACTTTTTTTATGCATACTTCAAATCACAGTTCTTCAGGGGCTTTCAGCTTCATTACATCTTTATATTTGAGTACAACACACAAAATACGAGGAATAAAAACAAACTATAGCCACTCTTCCATCCCAGAAAAGTGGCAGAAATCAGTACAAAGAAACATTTCTCCACGCTGTGTGTGGTAGATGTGTGGAGTTATCCTCATATAAAGAGGGAATTGTGTTCAAAGTACAACTGGACCTTGAGAAATTCATAATAATTAATACTTGTATCTGTAACATGCAGAGCCTTCAGGATATTCTGTCTTATGATCTAGCAGAGTTGTGGACTGAGAATTAAAGGACTGTGAAGCAAATTCCATAAATGTGTATAGTGTTGTTTACGGAGTCACAGGGATTTAGCAGGAGAGAAGGTAACTTTTATACCATCTTAAGTTAAAGGTACAGATCCACTAGTAGAATGAGACCTACTAGGTTAAGAAGCACCTCATCTCTCCTTATTTCTCTGAAGCAACAGAGATCTCTACAGTTAGATGGGAACTGGGATAAAGTGGCTGAGGCTGCATTCTGCATTTGATTTCCATTGCCTGGGCAGTGCTGTGTTTATGCCATCCAAACAGAACACTTTCCTCATGTTCACAGCAGCATCTCTGATAAGCATTTCTGTGTATGTCTCCCCCAATTGTTCATGTGTGCACAGGAATTCTGTACTAGGTTCCTTCATTTCAGCATGTTTCTTCCATGCCTAACGTGACTTAACTTTATCCACTGAGGAGCCAGTGGGCTTATTTGGAGAAAATCAAATACTTCTAATTAGTAGAACATGGCAAGATAAGGTGTGGGAGAGAGCACAGGCTTTACCACATTTTGCCTGTATTCTTCATTTTGTTCAAAAATAGGCCACTATCCTACGCCTTTTTCCCCAACATGATCCTGGTGACACAAAGGTATAGATGAGGGGAAAAAATCAACGTGCTTCCACTCAGCCTGAAATTTGAGAGGGAAGGTCCCTAGAGTAAGAAGGAATTTCATTCCAGTTGAGTGGATGACAAAAAAAAAAAAAAAGTTACAGGTGGGAATGTGTTCTCCACTGAAACCAATGTAAATGTCACATAAGAACAGCCTGCTCGATCAGACCAGTGGTCCATCCAAATGAATATGAATACAATAACAACCCCAAGCATATGACATAACATTATAGGACCCTAACAAAATGCTCAATGAATAAAACAATCCAGATACCCTTGTGGCTAACAAGTAGAGAACATTTGACTGTAAAGGATCCTGCTGCTTCATGGCAAAGGGGTGATCATGCCTCTTGGGTGGGCTCTATTGCTTCTCGTTACATTGTCAGGAAAGACCACATGGGAGGAGCTGTATTTGCGGACTCCTCTTATGTTGTCTGGAACGTCTCATATTACACTACAGCAGGGGAAGGAGTGGGTGTTACTGTAGTTCCCATGCTGCCTGTGCAACTTGCATACTTGGTGTTGGTCCCACATTCCCACGTTTAGTTCTAACATTCACTAGAAAGGTGTGAGATCAGAAGTCTGCATAGATCCGTCCTGAATGGCAAAGCGATTTGTTGCAAATCAGAGGCTCTTTGTACCTTATATCTTTCTGTAATATTGAAGCCAAGGGCAGACTGTAACTTGCGCAAACAAATGGGACAAAGATCCAAAGGGCGTCGATCTGATTCCTCCAGGTGATTGGACCCCTGCATGACACATTGCAACCACTGGCAGTGATGGAGCCCAAAAATGTGTCCGATTTCATGAGTCAGAGTCTGAAATACAGATATGGCCAAAATAAGAAATGAAGATAAAGTAGATCCTGTCCAACTGTACTGAAAATATATTGTGCACCAGGGAGTGTGCCTCTGTTGATTCTCTTAGACTTCTCATTGACTTTTGATACCACTGATCACGGCATCTTTCTGGACCACCCTTATGGGCTGGGACTGAGCGGCACTATTTTCATGGTTTCCATCCCACCTGGAGTGTATGTTTCAGAAGGTGGTGCTGAGGGACAACTGCTCAGCTCCCTGGCCACTTGGCTTGTGGGGTCTTGGCAAGGCTCCATTTGGTGCCCCATGTTCTTCATCATCTACACGAAACCACTGGATGAGATCATCCAGAGATTTGGGCTGGATTGTTACCAATATGCAGATGACACTCAGCTCTATCTCACACTTCAGGCTGATCCCATGGAGGCAGTAGAAACCCTGAACCAGTGCCTGGAGGCAGTTTTGGAGTGGAAATGAGTTACTGAAGTGTAATCATGACAAAATGGAAGTGCTACTAATGAGTGGAAGGTTTGACCTGGGACTTTTGTCACTCATTCTGGATGGCGCTGCACTCCCCTTGAAGGAACAGCTCTGTAGTTTGGGGGTGCTCTTGGACCCAGACCTGTTGCTGGATAAGGAGATGGCAGCTGAGGCCAGCAATGTCTTTTACCAGCTTCAACTGATTAGCCAGCTGCCTTTGCTAGGCAGAAAAGATCTGGCCACTGTGATGCATGCCCTGCAATGCACTCTATGTGGGGCTGCCCTTGGAAAGTGTTTGGATACTTCAGTTGTTACAGAATGCTGCAGCCAGGACATTAACTTGAGTGGATCGTAATAACCATAGCATTCTAGTCCTGGCTCCTCAACACTGGCTCGTAATTGGTTTCTGGGCATAATTCAAGGTGCTGGTATTGACCTTTAAGACTTACATGGCTTGGGACCAGCATACCTGAAGGACCACCTACTCCCTTAAAAATCTATCTGATCACTCTGGTTATTTTAAGAACATAAGAACTTGGGACCAAGGCCAAAGGCCCATCCAGTCCAACACCCTGTGTCACACAGTGGCCAGAAATACCAGGTGCCATCAGGAGGTCCACCAGTGGGGCCAGGACATTAGAAGCCCTCCCACTGTTGAACCCCCACCCCCGAGGTGCTGCTTTGAGTGAATCCAGTTTCTGAAATTAGCCAGGTTGCAATCTGGGAGAGGTCTTCTCTGTCATGTCACAAGAACTCTGGGAACCCCCCCCCCCCTCCCGAGATGACTGTCCCTTTCTGTTGTCATCTTCCACCAGTGGGTAAAAACTTTTTTGTTTTATCTGGAATTCCCTCCGTGATCCCACCCTCTTGTCCTATGTTTGTAGATTTTACATTTTTGGATCATGGATGTGTACTTAAGCTTGGGTTTAGTTGTTTTACAATGCAATCCTAAGGGGGGGGGGGAGGCTGAAAGCACTCAGGAAGCTGACTGACCTGTATGCCGGTGTATCTCCAAGACAGGCCAACATAAGAACCAGTTACAATGGTGCAGGCCCCCCACTGCCCCTCCGTGTCTCTTGGGCTCCAGCAGCAATCCATAGCTGCTACCTGTTGGCACAACTGAGGCATAGGCTCCTGCGCCAGTGTGGCTGTGGGCAGTTTTGGGGGCATGGCCAGAGTTAGTTGGCTCCCTGAGCCCTTTCAGCCTGGGAACACCCCCTGCCAGAGGCAAAACTGACATCAACAAAAAACATGGCATAGCCTATAAGCGCCAAGAACCAAAAAATCAAGTCCACCCCCCCCCCATGGTGGCCATGCCTATTGGAGCTCAGGATGCCTACTACAGGCTTGACCAATCACAGCTCCCTCCCCGGGGTGGCCAAGCCACCAATCACAGCCACCTCCATTCTACAAAAACCTCAGCCAGGACATGTTACAACTCAGAAGTTCAGGCACATGGCATGGGACTCCATCTCAGAGCTCCCTGCTGTGCGGAATTAGAGCAAGCAGCGAGGCACTTTGATGGTAGGAAAAGCACAGGGAGGGCACTTAACACTACAGGGTGAGAGCTTTGCACTAACACCCAACAAAGAGAGCAAAATCCATACTCTGGCTGACCTCTCCCATTTCAGAATCCTAACAGGTACCCCACCTTTGGAGGCTCGACCCGAATGGGCAGCCACACACTGACAGGTAAGCAAGGGCAAGGATTCCAAACCTGCTCTCTCATTGCCTCCCACACTCAAGCCTAGCATGGAGTTCATGCTGGGGCAACACAAGCCATGGCCCCGCAGCACCATGGCCCCTGACCTGACCTGACAAAAGATTCTAGGAAAGTTTCCCAAGAGAACTGCGGGGGAGGGGGGGGATGTAAGCTCTGTCATTTGCCTGTTTCCCACTCTCGTCAGAAGACAGAGCATGTCGGTGTTGGGGGAGGGGTGTGTCTGGCAGCTGCTCCACTGTACATGGTGAGCCAGCATGGCAGGTGACCCTCTGACTCATTTCCTTGCAGGATCAGAGTCTTGCGCAGCAGCTGCAGGTGCTTCTGTGGATGGATTGCCAGCAATCCCTGAGCACTTCAACACAGGATGGGTGACTGTAATTCAGATGGCACCATCATGTGCCCCAAGGGGGGTTCATAGCAAAGCCCCCCCACCGGGCTGCATTTGCAGACCCTGTCAGGACAACACATCTATGGCTGAGCCCAGCATGGCAGTTGTGCCCAGTTGCCACGGCTGCATGTATCTCTGTTTTGCTTTCCTGCAGATGAAGATTCAGCAGGGAGACTTGTGGGTGTGGCCAGTCCTACCTCCCCCCCAACACTCTGCTCAGTCTGCTCTCCCAGCCCTCCTTTTGGGAGTGGAGCATTGTACCCGGCCAGCCCTTCTAAGTTCCATCTGCAGTTCCATCCCACTTAGACCCGTGCTGTGCCGGGGATCCTCAGTCCACTTCCCCATGGCTCCAGGGAGGTAGCAAATGGAATCTTCACACCTCACCATCAATGTTCCCTCTAAGCTGCGGAGTCTTGTGAGCAAAAATTCTACTTTGTGAGCAACTGGCATTAAAGCTGTGAGCAAGCGATTTGGCTGATGCATAAATGAGTTTGCTCTGGAGCCCTCCTTCCTGAGCTAAGACAAAAATGTGTGAGCCGGAGGCTAAAAAACTGTGAGCTGGCTCACACTAACTCAGCTTAGAGGGAACACTGCTCACCATGCTTTGCGGAGGGTGGCTGAAGTGTAGTGGGTTAAACGCATGTAGAAACCACTGAGACCGATGTAGTGATCAGCATGGTTTACTGGTACACAACAAAGACAAACGGCCGGCTGGCCAACTATATACACACCTGTGGACACACCCCTAGGTCCCGTTGGTGGGTTTAAATCTCCCGCCACGGTCCCATTGGTCCCTCAGTGGAGAGACCAGGAGCCTAGTCCCCATTGTTCCTCCAGAGTCAAGCTCTGGAGTGTTCGCTGGCCCCTAGTGGCGGTCCGCGGACACAACATCCCTCCACCCATAGTTCGGACCCACCCTAGGTCACATAGTCCTTTAAGTACGACGGGGACCGCCGTACTCTCGTGGACCGTCGGGGGAGCGGTACTGGGACCTCCGGGGCCCTGTCCCCTGTGCTGGGATGCGCGGGTGTTGCAGGCCCCTCTGGTTCCGAAGCGTCGGTTGTTGGGGCCTCCTCGGCAGTCGCCGGGGGAACGGTGGCCAGGTTCGAACGCTCTTCAGTGAGGAGGTCCTGCGCGGGAGCGTCTGGTGGGCTCACCTCTGGGTCTGCCTGTTGTTCCGGTCCCTCCTTGTTCGGGTGTTCTGGTAGCATGCGCCGATGGAGTTGGTCAATATGCCTCCGCATGACCTGCCCACATTCAGTGGACACCTCATACGTGACGATGCCTGTGGGATGAATGATGTGGCCAGTGATCCATTCCGGGCCTCTACCGAAGTTCCTGGCAAAGACGGTCCTCTGGAAAGAACCCGCGAGGTGCTTCCCGCTGCTCGGAGGAGTTCCGTTGCTCCGGAGCCCGATCGGGATGCAGGCGGTCCAGTAGGATTGTTGGCCTCCGACCCATTAATAGTTCCACTGGACAGCGACCGCTTACCGGGTTTGGCGTTGTTCGCTGCGTAAAGAGGAAACGGGTGATGCGGCATTCCCAGTCGCCTTCCGTCAGGCGGCTTAATGCTTCCTTTGCTGTCCGGACCATGCGTTCCGCTTGGCCGTTGGTAGCGGGGTGGAAAGGTGCCGACCTGATGTATTTTATCAGGTTGTTGCTGAGGAACTGCTGAAATTCCTCAGACGTAAACGCCGTCCCGTTGTTTGAGACGATGGTGTCTGGCAGGCTGTGGGTGGCGAAGATCTTCCGGAGGGCGCGGATGGTGGCCTTTGAGGACATTGCGGAGACGGGGCTTATCTCCAGCCACTTTGTGTAGGAATCCAC